TCCACTCCAGCGGCCGGTCCACCTGTCCAGTCCGTGCTGTCACACTCCGGTCCGGCAGGCGGCAGTAATGCTCCGTCTGCTCCGATATGTCCGCCGCCAAAACGCTCATTTCACAGAAGTAATATTTTTCTTTTCGGAAGAAGATCCCGACAAAGCGGCCCTGTTTCTTTTCAGCTAAAAAAAAGTCGAAGAATTTGAAAAGCGACGATGTACGCCAGGACAAATACCGGCAGCACACATGGAGACTTTCAAGATAGAAACGGAGTAAACTATGTGACATCGACAGAGTCTTTCGGCCACTGCTCTCAATTGTTCTGGAAAAAGGACCCCAACGACTCCGGAGTAAGAAAGCCAGCTGCTGCCTCCTCCACCGTTAGCTATAGCTAGCCGAGCCGACAGAAAGCTGCAGCGAGCGGCTAACGGAGCGACGTTTTGCTGGCGGAGCACTGAGCGAAGCTTCTGAGTTTACACGTGGCTGTTAGTTGTGGCTCTGTGATGCCGTTTAGCAGCACTGGGTGAGCTAAAGCTGGAAGCTATGTCACAGAGCAGCGTCGTTAGCATCCGGCTAACGTACCAGTCGTCATGCTGAGCGGCTCCTGGCCTAGTTTGACTGTTAGCTGCCGAGCTAAGTGGCTAATATTATTTTCTCCAGCATACTGTTTCTTTTACATCTCCAACTTGGGTTTGGTGGATTTCTTTTTCTAAAAGCACGTCGGCGCTGTGCTGTTAAAAGACGCCAAAGGTTTACCAGTTAAGAAAATAATGCTAATGCAGCCAAGCATCACCGAGCTAAAGCTAACTTAAGACAACACTGGCTGCTTCAGTCAAGCCGAGCTCCGGTTAGCTAACAGCACAGCCTGTGCAAAACAAGGCAGCGCCGAGCAGCAGTGTGCGTCTCTCACACAGGAATAAAACCGAGCTTTGAATATTCCCGCTGTACCATCGCCTTGTAGTCGAGGTTTATTAGAGCAGTGGAAGTGCAAGTGTGTGCATGAGGCCTGTAATATTGTTAGCGAGCAGCGCAAAGTAAACACGGCAAGGCAGCCCCGCAGGAAACGGGAGCGGAAGACGCCCCGCGGAGGACTTTGAAAGACCCCTTTGTGGTGCCAGACTGTGTGGTTCATTCATGGTGGCTCTGAGCCGTCAGATTATCTGCACAGCGCGCACACACCCACATATTAATTTATATGTTTATTTTTTCCCCCCACATTTTAAATGTGGGCGGCATCACAGGCTGCCTCTCAGGTCCCCATCCTCTGCTGTCACACACGTGCAAGTTAAATCAATATTTAGTTCCTGTGTCTGCAGGGATGTGCGTTAATTCCTTTAAGATGTTTCCTCAAACACCCAAAAGCTTATTTTATTCTCAGAAATCTGTTATCATTTTGGGCAATGGAAATCACTCACTTGCTCTTGTGATTTCTTCCTCCCAAAGCTGAATGTGTTCACACCCTGCAGCTTATAAATCAGTATTTAACTTAATTAATTGCAATTATAGTTTAATGTGACCCAAGTTGATTCTCACAGTAACAGCTAGCTAACATATGGGGAATCTGTAGCACCTTCAGTGTTGATATGTGAAAGAAAAAATATCATAAACTAGTGGCATGCAAATAGAGGTCAGTTGTTTTGCATTTTAATTTATCTTATTTTATTTTTTCTTAACCACTATATCCGTTAGGGTCTAAAAGGTTGAGTACCGTACATTCTCCAAATTAATTTTTTAGGTGTTTTAGTGCTCTGATATGTGAAGTACCCTGACTGGGAGCTCAACAGATTGCAACTGAGGAAACAGACGTTTTGGAGGGAAACTAAAATCTGATGCTCTTGCATAAAATTAGCAAACTATGATGATTTTTTAATTTTTATTGTTGTACAGTTGTGGTATTGCAGCATGCTTAGTGTCAATTTTTAATTAATTACTAGTGTATTCCTGAGTTTTTATTGCTTCCGGAGAGGCTGCATTGCTGTATTTGCAGTGTTCTGTATGTATGTAGTGCATCAGTTTTGCTCAATGTGTTGCAACAGTCATGAAGATGCTTTCTTATTGTTGCTGTTGGCCGCTTTGATTTGTTTTCTTCGGCTGCCCTGAGCACTTTATCCAAAGGAGTGTGTTTGCAAAAGGTACAGTGAAATATGTTGTTGTACCTCTAAACGCTGGAGACTGAGCTGTCGGGGCAGCGCAGGAAGAGGTGTGTTTGTACCTTTGACTGAGGGCGATGTTGGGTGGCGTCGTGTTTGTGGTCATGTTGTTGTGTAAGACTTCAGGCTCGGGTTTGGTTATTTTCAGATGGTAATGACTTGCACCAGTTGTCTGTGTGTTCGTGTGCAGCAGATGGTGCAGGTGGTCCGACCAGTAAACGGACAAAAAGACAGAATATGGTGCATTCGCTTCGTCAGTACTGGATTGAATAAATCTGAAATTTTGGGTCTTAGTTCATGTTCAGATGTCACAGTGTCATTTGGGTTCAGTCACCCAGGACTTAATGATATGGGTCGCGTTTGGATCTCGGTTTTAGGGATGCAGAACTGTGATGTGGGCACAGTTGCCGCCGTGGTTTTCAGCTGCTTTCCTCCAAACATGTGCACTTAGATTGTTGTCTCCTGGCTTACTTTTATAAGTGTGGCACAGTCCTCTGTTGACCAGAAGAGCCACATTTAATGCTTTAGTTGTAATCAGGCGTAGCAACGCAAAACTTGACAGAAGTTAATTTCTGGAGCACGATGACATGTTTGGTACTTTCAGCCACATATGAACTAAGTTGCGTTTTCGCTCACGTCGCATTTAGCAAAATTATTTGTCGAGAATTTCTGTAAGCTCCACCATGTTTTCATCACTTCTCTGTTAGAAGCATCCCACAAAACAAGAACGGTTGTGTTAAGTGACATTATACAGAGTAGAATTTTTTGATTGTAGGATAATATTCAATATTATTGGCATATAAAAGTGATGTGTTTTTGCATATGTACACGTATCACTGACTTGTTGATGTGTCCCTGTTGTGGTACTCAGCTTTAATTCTCTCCTCTCCTCTGTCACAGCCAAGTTCAACCATCAGCTGGTGCGATCAGCTCCCTTCGTCCTCGGCAGCCCTCTCTAGCTCCAGTCTCTCCTCAGCGTCACTCTCTAGCTCCAGTCTCTCCATGGAATCTCGAGCGCCGGCACCAGCGCCGCCGCCAGCGACGACAGCAACGGACGACATGGAGTCAGACGAGAGGCCGTACGTCTGCGACCTGTGCAGCTGCGCCTACAAGCACGCCAGCTCCCTGCTGAACCACAAACTCACCCACAAGACTGGAGACTTCAGGTAGGGATTCAAGACTCATTTGATCAGTGACTTGTTGAAGTCTTTTCCCGCCTCTAACCTCTGCACCGTTTTCACCTCCAAAACTCAGGTGTGACTTTTGCAGCAAGCCCTACACCAACTACATGTCCTTGCGCAATCACATGAGAATTCACGGTCAGAAGCGCTACATGTGCGACCTGTGCGGGAAGGCCTTCCGCCTTGCTCGATATCTCCGTAACCACCAGAGGATCCACGATGACGGGCCCAACCGTTTCGACTGTCCCTCCTGCTGCAAGAGCTACAGGACCATGCTGGAGCTGGCACAGCACCGCTGCACTGCTGCTGCATCCAACCAGGTAGGTTTGTTTGCGACGGCGCTGTGAGAGCAGTGGGTCAACTGGAGGCGGTGTGGTGTGGGCTTCGTTAGCGTTACCAGTGTAACAGTTCTGTGACAATAATTTTGCAGCAGCACGAGTCCTTGCATGTTATGTATTTGAAGGAACATGATATTAAGATTTAGGAGAGCTTAGGTGTGTTTTGTTTCGATATATAAATGCTTCCTGGAGATCACACACCCCTGATGACAAACACAAAGGCTTCATGATTTCCTGGAACAGCAGGATGCTTCAGTTGTTTGTTAGGGGCTACTTTAAGTGACGGATTAATCCACAATAATAAAATACAAAACCATGATAAGTTAAATGCTGCTCACTTATTTCTCTGTCATTTATAAATATACCACCGCATTTTATGAGACAGGTCAGTAACTTGTTGGAAATCACGTACAAATCCAGTTGTCATGAAGCTTCTCTAGAAAAATCTTCAGCCTTTCATTCTTTGTCTCGTAAATGATTTGAACTTTAACGCATTAAATTTCAGAGATTAATTCTTCAAATAAGTACATTGATTGTCAATCCTCTGAGAAACAAATTAGGAATATCACTTTCCCCCCCACTTATTTTAATGTTTTCTACTCTGTGACCTGCAGTGCCAGTATTATGTTTTTAGTTTGAAGGCTCAGTTGAAGTTGGTTAAAATGCCTCCAAAACTGTGTTTCTGCCAAAAATCACACGGCTTTAACCGCCATCAATTATCCACAGCTTTCCTGTAACCGTTTAGTGAATAAAAGCTATTCATTTAGATCATACAGTGACAGATGTTTGTTGGTAAACCCTCTGCGTAAATGCACATTCCTTACTCGGACACACCAAGAGTCTAGCTGCCTTCGCTTTCCTGCACTTGGAGGTGGGTCGTTGTGTTCTAGTCTGCAGGAGGCAGAGGGCTTGTGCTGTGCAGTGACTTCTGCAGAGGCAGCAGCAGAAGTTTAAACTTTAATGTTTAGGTTAATATTAGACTCCTCTGCTCCTGCAGCAGACTGCTCACCTCGTCTGCTTTCTTTCTTTTTTTTTTTTTTGGCTCCACACCAGTGCATGTCAGAATCTGTGCAGGGTCAGACAAACCAAAGACAAATCACAAACTGTATGACACACTTGCAGGACATCAGAAGACTACTTGCATTTTCCATGGATTTCAGAATTCTTGTTTTTTCTTCCAAAGTGTGCCCTGATGTTTTAGCTACTCTCTTGGTTGTTTCTAGCACATTTGACTGGAAAGCTCCATTTAAATCTGTGTGGCAACTTCTACAAGTCTGCCAGATAAATGCACAGCAAATTCCCGTTGATTCACAAGCCATATTTGGCCCAAAAGAAAAAACAAGCAAATGACTCGACGTTGACATTGCAAATCTGCAGATGAGGCTTCGGGGTAAACCAGTTGTTGGAATTCTACACTTTGAAATTGCCACTATTAATCCCACTAATTTAACACTGTAATGGAAAGTGTGAGTGTCTTTGTGGAAAACTGACAGCGTGGCGTCAACTAACACCTTAGCCATGAGTCTTTGCTGTGAGAGGTGGTGGGATTCCAGCTGTGCATTTACTAACTGTGTGAAATCATTATCAAACAATGAGATGAGAAAACAATCACTTCTGAACAGACGACCCCCTCTCTCTTCTCCATTAATTACTGCTCACCATACCTTTCAGTTAGTAAACCACAAGACCCTTTTTAACGCTATTTCTCGGTCCCATCTGTATAAACTAAAAAGCTATGGTCAGAGAGCAAGAGCCCACAAGCCCACTGTTCTCATCATCTAGATTAACAACACTGACTGACTGAAGTCCTAAAAGGGCAACTTAGTGCTCTGCTTTTAAAAAAGTTGGAGGACTTACAAGGGTCACATTAAAGCAGCAGAGGTAGAGATGTGCTGACTTTTAGGGCCAAAGATGAACCAGTTGCAAGCTACTCCCATCTTGGACTTTTCCTAATGCATTTAGCACCTTTGATAAAAACACTCCTTTTCCTCGAAAGCAGAATTTTTACTCCTTTCCGTTTGTTGGATCATGTCTGAAAAAGCCCTCCCCTCACACAATGCCAGTGTCAGGTGGGGAGAGGCTTTGTTTGACCGTTTTTATAACCTTTTGAAGCCATTGATCTGATGTTCACACACACACTTTACGCCATATTTGGCCAGAGAGAGAGAGAGGGGTCAAGAATTGTAGTTCTCTCTCCAGCTCTCTTATTTGGGGCACTTTTCACGTGAAAAAACAACACAACGAGGGCCTTCTGATGTGGAGTCAGTCTAAGTGACACTTGTAGTGAAAAGAGGTTGATATGTGAAACCGGTGGGCTGTAGAGGAAGAGTTTGTCTCTTTAAAAATAAAAAACAATTTGGGGTTACATTATTTGCTTTTCTGTGATTAAACAGTAGGACCTCCTGCAGGGGAAACACTAGCATGTGTGGATGTTGATGCATGATTGACAAGGATAATTTGTATTACTGGCTTTGATGAATTGTGTGTGTGTGTAACATAAAGCAGCATGTTTTCCTTGACCCTCTGTCCTCTCTCCAGCTCCAGTTTTTTTTTTTTTACAAGCATCCTGCTTTTGGAGAACTTTTTGCCAGCACTCCTGTAGTGAAAGCGTGCTGTGGAGTTAGGGTTAGACCAGGGTTAGGCTAAGTGTAGGGAAAGGGTCAGGGCTCAGAGGTCAGGGAGTGAATACAATTGAGCAGATTTTCCCTCGCAAGTGTAGTAATCCAAACTTATATGTGTGTGTTTGTGTGTGTGTGTGTCTGTGTGCGCGTGGGGTTGGTTCATGAGAACCGGTTCAACTGCCCGTCCTGCTTTAAGAGCTACCGAACCATGCTGGACCTGGCCCAGCACCGCTGCAGCGCCGCGGCCAAAAACCAGGTTGGTGTGAGCGTGAGTGAGCATGTGGGTGTTGTGTTGGAGGCAGACCGAGGTGCAGGCGTGAGGAAGGGCCGACCTACACAGGCATTTTAGACGTGATGGTCAGAATCGACACACCGTTATGTGGTGAACTGCTGATGTAGCCGACACTTCCTTTACAATGTGGCTTTTTAAACACAACATCATTTGGATATATTGTGCAGCAGCAGACTGTTTACCTCTAAGCCGTCGTCTGTTTCAGCTTGATTTTACACTTAAAGCTGATGCTGACCATTACATCTAAAATCTCACGCACGAGTCAGAATCACCAGATTTCTACTTCCTTACAACTTGGGTCTTATTTGGCTGTGAGTTTTGAGGCTGGAATGCCAGCTGGGCCAAGTGGACAACTACCTTAAATCCCCAGACATACCTAACACCATCACCAACGTTCCTAATCGTGGGCTAAACTCTCGTGTAGTTAATTATTTAGTTAATTTTGTGCTCACATTTCTATCAAACTAGCTACTCATGACTCAGTTGTGGAGGTCCTGACCAGCAGGCACAGTTAACATTGTGTCCACATGTCATGAATGGGTTTCTATGTTATCAGAACATGCACATTCAAGGACAGGTTTACTTTTTTTTTCATGCCGGTCTTCAAACAATACTGATATGCCCATGTGCAGCTGGAATAAAAGTCAGCTTCCACACTAATCGCATAGACTTCATCGCCGGAAAAGCACAACTAACACTAATAACAATAATGACTGATTTGGTTCCGTCGCGTGTCAGTAAGACGTGACGGTGGGCCGACTTGTGCCGTCGCAGGAACACTTGGAACAATCCAATCTCAGTAGATTGCAGCTATTAATGTTATTGATTACACCTCCGCTCTCCCTGCCGTGATGTGTCAAAGGGGTTGTTGTTTTTCCCGTCCGTACCGGCCGCGAACAGACGCGCTCGCAACGCAGTTCCAAAGTGACACATTATGTTGATCAGCTGAAGTTAATCTGAGCAATCTGAGACAAATTGTTAAGTTTTTACGGTTAAAGCTCGTCTTTAAATGTTGCCCAATGTGTGTTTTTGAGTCCTCAATGCAGCGAAAATGGTAAATTATTAATGCTTGTTTTGACTTGCGGGGCTCTTTATAATAGATTTTTTTTTTTGTCAGCTTAATTATAGTGTCTCTACAAAGCAGGCAATCCTGTCTAACAAACAAACCTGATGGGGATGATGGCTCAAACCACAACGATAAGACCTCGGTTGTAAAACAAACATAGAAAACAAACTAACATTCCTGCAGGGTTTCCTGTTAGAGGTACGATGAGGAAAACTTGAGGCTAAGAGGTCTTTATCCTCTGTGGAGGGAAAACATCAGGGAGAGGTTTAAATTAATGTCAGCACAAGTCCTGAAGTCGTCAGGGTTGGAGAACAGGTTGATGAGATAAGCATCTTCTGTAGTTGTCACGGTTTCACACCATAAACAAGATTGGAGTCTGCAAAGTTCTAAGCTGTAGGTTTGGTAGAAGTCTTTGTTGTCCGTGTGAGTGTTTACGTGTGTGTGTTTGTACAACTTGACCACTCCATCCCCTCATATTAATAGGTGTAAAGACAGACAGGACAGTGAAAGGAAATGAGTGTGTGAGACAGAACTAAAATACATAAACTCTGAACAGCACAAGAACCTTGAAGAAGCTGATTGGAGAAAAAAAAAAAACTAAGCAGCATCATCACATTCATCCGTCACCTCTCCTCAAATATGTTTTATCTCACTTTTGTCACAAATGCTGCATAACTGGCATTTTTTTTTTTAATGTGCACAACAACAGAATCTGTTTATTAAAACCCTTTTCCCTCCTGTCTTTCTCTTGTCCATCCCTCCCTCCGTGCAGTCTGGCGGCCGTCGTTCCAGTTACGCCTCAAATGCTCGGCGCCAGCAACAACAGCAACAGCAGCAGCAGCAGCAACAACAGCAGCAAAACAGCGCTAACTCCATGATGCAACCGCAGCATGGAGGACACGGCCAGCAGGAATCTCTGCCCTCCCACTGCGTCTCACCAATGTCCCAGGGAGGGCAGGCCAGCCAGTCTGTGCCTGACCCCCACCAGGTAGGCAGGAGAAGATCAGGTTCCAGGGCGAGGACGGACACAGTGGAATATCACTGGTTTATTGTTTGGTTGTTGGGATGTGTGTTGAGGTGTCTTGTGTGTCCCAGCAGGGCCGTCCCAGCTCAGTGTCCTCTCAGAGCAGCCAGCAGAGCATGAGGAGCTCATCCTCCAACAAACACGTCTCCTCCTCCAGCGCCACCCCATCCTCCTCCTACTCCCTGCTCCAGCCCCTGGTGCCTGAGGTAAAGGAGATGAGCTCGGGATACACTAGACTGAGCGCCAACCCCATGGTAGGAGAGAGCACCGCCACACACCCGCCGTTCGCTATCTGCTGGCTAGCCTCCTTCTCCCTGTCTGCCTACTAACATCAGCAGAGAGGGACTAATGCTTTAACTGCTCTGTGTTCACCAGGAGTCTCTTCTCACAGCCCTGCTCTTTCTGCCTTTTGGCTATGAATGTGGAAAAAACACAACTGTTTTCAGCTGTGGTTTGAAAAAGGTTTAGTCTTCACAAATTAAAAAAAAAACAAGCAGGTTTGTTAAATGCTGCTAGCTGTAGAGACGCCTGGTGAACATGGTCTTAGCTTAGTTCTGAAACCTTTTGGGTTTTAGTCTGCTGTTTTCATGTCAAATACTGTTCTAGCACTGGTGAGAACAAACCTTTATGGAAATAGAAAGTTAATTTTGCCGTTGTTTGATAAAGATAGCAAGTGGTTCTTTTTTTTGCAAATAAGACTACAAGAGTGTTGAACGGACGATCTTATGTTCACTTGACTACATGTTCCAGCATCGTAGTGCAGCTACTACGATCCTGGAAAATGTAGTCGAACTATGCAAGCAGCTGCATCAGGATATCACAGCTCAACAACCAGCATGGAAAAGAAGGAACACGACAAACTAGTCTACAGTGTGTTTCTCAATAGTTCTGGTGCTGGAAGTTGATTTAGTTCCATTTTCAGACATCATATGAACCTGGGCAGATGAGCGCTGGTTAACTCTGAGTATGTTTTCATTTTAGTAAAAATTAACCTGGTCCAAATGATTTAATATACTTCAAATACTAGCTTTTCGTGTTTATTTATAATTATTTTATGCTAATAAGTGTAGCAGGTAGCGTGACTGATTTAGTTCATCTGGAGATAACATGCAGATTTCTTTTCTTTTCCCTGCAGCCGATCTATTGTTTGAAGAATAAGTATGATTTCAGCAGCAGCACTGGCTCAAACACTGGAATTTAACGCTGTGTGGTCATTAGTATCTGAATAGTAGTGATTCCGCCCCTGGTAATGACACTCGGTGCTTTCAGTAGGAAAGATTTTTAGCGGTAATAGTCTCAGGAGTTTTCCCCAACAGTGCTCACAGTGGCCTGGAAAGAAAACCAACAGACTAAAATTCAGCTGAGGGGCTGATTCTTTCTCGTGGGCTGTGAACTGTGGGTCATCTCTGGCGGTAGGAGGCTCTCTAACACTACTAACTTGGGGCTGTGCTGCTAACTCAGTCTGCCTTTCCTTCTTTTACACTGATCATTCACTCAGCTTGTGTTGCGCATCTCGATGTAATCAGGGCCGCACATGAATCCTATTTCATCATATATTGCAGCATTTTATTGTTTGTCATTTACAATGCTTTCTTTGGCATTCATATTCACGCAGACGCATCAAGTGCATTGATTTGAGTTCCTTAAATCGTCGTGTTAGATTGTGCAGGTCCTGAAAGGGTTCAAACACATGTCTGACACCATCTTCATCTTTGTCTATGCAGGATGCAGTAGATGTAGGTCAGCTGTTTGAAATACAAGAGCCTAATCGCAAGTTCCTGTAGTTACACATATAAAAGGCAGGAAGATGTTTAGGAATGTATACAGCTCCCATCTTCAACAAAGTTATGGAGTGCCACACAAATCACACGAAGGATTTAACCAGCAAAAAGCATTTAATATACATAAGAATAAAATATAATAACCGCAATACCAAGGATCAAAAACCACAAGAGCAAAGTAAAATAACAAAGATATTATACATAAAAAATTAAGCCATAGGGATGTACTTGTTATTGTTTGTTCTAAATCTGAGTAATTCAACTGAAACCCAAAGACCTCACTTTAATGCCCAGTCTCCATTTTCCTACAGTAGTAAACAAACCCTGACATACACTTGCAAAGTCCATGTGAATCATGGCAGCCTTGAGTTAGCAATGATTCCTAGAATTGTTTTTTAATGATGGATTCATTGAAACGTGTCTTTCTGACAAAAACAATAAAGCATTTTGGACATTACCACTGAGCCAGACTTTGTATTGTTAAAGTTTGAACACTGAGTTTATAATGGAACATGTCAGTATAATTACAGCATCTGGATGATCATTTAAAGCCACTTGAGTGAACCTGCAGAGACGCTGTCAGCACACATGCAGAAATGAGTCCCAGTGAAAACGAGCCAAGATCAGATTACATGTTGTTCAGAAGTTGTTGTGCAGCTGTGCGCTCCATGTTTGTGCCTCCAGATGACACCTTCATTGTTGTTTTTTTTGCATTGTCGCTCTTGGTTTCGTGTTCACAGCTGCCTGTTGTGCTATTCAGGCAGCTGTGTGGCATTTTTTCTTATCTCACCTTCTCCTCATCCATCTGATCTTCACCTGTTCATTGAAGAATGTTATTTTATCTGCCAGGTCACTGTACTTCTATTTTACTCCATTCTTCTCATTCCCCTCCTCCTGTCTCTTCCCAATCAGTTATCTTTATATCTGACTGTACTTTTACTCCACTGGTAACACAATTCTCTCTCTCTGGCTCCTTCCCACTCCTCTCCCCCACCTCCCCCTCCAGCCGAAGCACCAGGACACTTTTTCTCTGGCCGCCCAGCGGCCCCTCACCACCATCAACCCCATCAGCCACTCCCTCCACCCGAACGGAGCACCGACGCTCAAGCCTTCCCCCGTGCCACGCACCATCCAGGCCATGCCCTGGGAGCAGCGCTCCCTCTACAATCAATGAGACTCCTGGGAACCAAGCACCCCTCTTGTTCACATCGCGTCCACCAACACCAACGCCCACACAGCCCTCCACCCCACAACTTCAGATCCAGCATCAAGGATGGAGGACCGCCGGACGCCCCCTCCCCCTCGTATTCCCTCAGCCCTCCTCTGGAACGTTGTTTTAGGGAATGGGGAAGGGCACCATTGAGAACTAGTTGAGATTGATTACTGAGTAGTTAGGTTTAAAACGATGTGTTGCCTTGACCCTCATGTATGATCTATGCCATGTACTGGATATAAGTTAAAATGTCTGTCCCCTAATCTGTCCTCTCACTAAGAATTTATCTCCCCCATCCTCCTCTCCCGTTCTAGTTATGAAAATATCTATCCTTCCCATTATGAATAGTGTCTCTCCCCACCCCCACCCCTTTTCCACATGTTAAATGAAAGGCTATTTTTATCAAGAGTGTTCCAAACCCTGAACGACAAGGGATTCCTGGGCGCCAAGTTGTCAAAGTAAATGTGACAAAATTCTCCCGTTGGTCTAAAATGTCTTTGAACATAATACCCTTTTTTTTTTTTTTTTTGTCAAATGAGGCTCTTATGGAAAAGGTAAGTAGAAGGGGGGAAACTTGAATTATTTTTTTTATTGTTATTATTATTTTATTTCCCCCCACAATTCCCTTTGACGTTCTCCAGAATGAACATTGTGAATATTGTGCGTTAGGAGGTGTCACGAAAGCCGATTCCGTTCTCCGAGCGGCCACACCTCTCATCTCCGAGCACCAACAGCAAGGACCACGACAGAAAGAACTCGGCTCAGCCTTGTTCCGCAAAAAACAAACATTTCATCACGTACACACCAGTTTGGCTTCTGTGTGCCGTGTAGACTGAAGCCTGACCTCCTCATCTCTCAGACTGCAACCACCCAACAAAGGACAGTTTGGTGCGGTTACCTGTTTTTTAACACACAACTGAAAGCTCACTTTTTTCTGAATTTGCATCTGACTGGTGGTTTGTGGTTATTGTAGTTTTAATAATATGTTGGCTGGGAATCAAATCTAGAAGATAACAGTAAACGTCTCCATCCCTTTTGTTCCGAACTGACTGTTACAATGTTTGTTCCTTTCACTTTAAAGCACTTTAAGACAAGTGCTGTACAATTATTACTGTCTCTGCCGCCCACCACCCGCCCTCAACTTAAAGCTGTGTCGGCTGTAAAGATGTAACATGGCCTTACATCACCTCCTCATCCCGACTCACTCACACCATCACCAGTGACTTAGCAGCTGCACTGGACCTGGTTCGAGCCCCCCCACCCCACAAACAGGGCTGCATCTCTAAGCTGCAGTGGCCAAAATACAGTATGTCTTCAGCTCTGGACCCAACCCAGCCCCCCACTTTGGCTCCGACACACCCTCCAGTGTTGCTTTTCCTGTAGAAAAAAAAGAAGAAAAGAAAAAAAGATTTTTACAAAAACAAAAACCTGCCTGCGTCTCACTGCTCCCAGGATGGATTTAGTTAACACCTAGGTTTCTGTAAGCAGCCAATCACGGCTGGCCAAGTAAAAGAGAATTATGTGAAACGGTCAATTTGATGAATAACAGTTAATTCATGGATCCAGTATGTAGTTCTGTTAGGTTATCTCGCTAACATGGTGTTCATTGAAATACCCACAATTCTACTGACATTGTATTTTCTCTTTTTAAAGTTGTTTCTATTTTTATTCATGACATGTTTTCATTGTTGCTTTCTCTCTCCTTGTAAAGTGTCTTTGAGTATTTAGAAAAGTGCTATACAAATAAAATGTTTTATTATTATCACCATCAGTGCTGCTTTTCTGAAGACGCGATGTCTAGTACCGCTTATACGCTAAATTTCTTGTTAAAAATGTCATCCAGTATTTGATTTTATTTATTTTTTGGACAACTTAATTATTTGGTGATTTGATTTGGAAATAGAAAATAGCTGTTTAAGCTTAACTTGCTGAAAATATGAACAAATTAAGTTGCACGACACCAGTGCAAATATCACCTGTTGATGCAGACTCTGCTGCAGGCAAAAGCTCCAGAACAAGCGAGCAAGTAAGTGGACAATGAGTGAAAGCTGAGATGCTGCTTATTTTCCAATCTAACCCTCATCTCTTTCTATTTATGTTCACAAAGTGAGGAGTGAAAACGTCCACCAGAGGGCAACATATACTCACGATTTATGTCGCTTTAAATCTTTGAATTTAATCAGAAATTGTCGATCTTACATTTTTCTTTCTATGTGGTTTCCATTCTACTCTAATGAAGTGCTCAAGGCCCTGTGACGGTTTGTAAATCCAGTCATACAACAAGTCGTTTAACCTTTTAACCCAAATAAAACTTGACCTTTTGAAATTCCAAGCAGTCATAAGGAGGCACATACACATCTATTAATGCTTTACAGACACGCTGCTGCTTGTCTTCTACGTTGACATGGTGAGGTGAGGTGAGCTGTGATGGTGCACACATCATCTGTGAACTGACTGATGATACGAGTGCACTGTTACACCGTCATGCAGTTACAAGTAAACACAATATCCATGTTAATGTCACATTAATATTCATAAACTCAGGGAAGCACTTAATTAAATACATGCTTGCAAAATCTAATTTAGATAAACCTTTTAAGTTGCAAACATTTGGTGTAATAATGTCGGTAATTGCATCACGTAGTAACTAAAATTTCTGCATTCGATGATTTCAAACTAAATTCTAGTTGAGGTACCTTCGTGAAATTGCCTTGATAGCTGCCTCTTTTTTTTTCAACTTGAGTTCAGACTTTAAAGTCCCCTCCTCTGTCTTAACACGCCTGGACAATTTCAGGCAATTTTAGATGTTAAGGTTTTTTGTTGGGCGAACATAATTTAAAATTGTCATAACTTTTTAATGTTTTTCCAAACATTATTATTATTAGAAATTCAGACATCAGCAAACGGGTCCCATGCTTTGAAGTATAATTTGTGTAATCTGATGGGTTATCTCACAAAAAAAGTTGGTTCGTGAGACAATCCTAAAGTTACATCTACATCTTCTCCTTTGTATCAAAGAAAGGACCTACAGTGATACAAATATTGATCACATTAAAAGTGTAGCACAGGAGGCCTTCTACTTCATCATAAAATAAAGTTAGTTGTCAGCATGTGTGTGTCAGAGACTTCAGCTTTAAACATCTCAGCTGGGGGAGTTTTATACTGGACTGTGATTGGCTCCAAGGGAGTGGTGATGTCACTAAATCCTGCAGGGACATCCAGATGTTGAACTGATGTTGCTCTTTTAGTAGATGGACCAAACTTGATACATACTGTGCATCACTATTCAGTCAAGCTTCACAAGCTTCACAGTTAAGTGTAAAGAAAGCACTTTTTTCAGCAAGAGGGAGGCTTTAAATATGACTTCCAAGCACTGATTATCAAATCTTTTAGATAAACATGGCAACAGAATGGTAACTTTTCTCTTTTTTCCCCCCCTTCTTTAAATGTGAAAGAGCAACAACATCCCCTAAAGTTTCTATTGAATCTTTTCAAGGACAGTTCCCTTTTCAAATCTGGAGCCACCACTGTACACGATAACCAACTGTAACAAAAGCCCCTCACAGTAAAGCATCAGTCAGACAGTTGTGGAACAAACAGCTGCACTGAAAGCCCAAACTTTAAATTAAATTAAAATGTTTAGGAATTTACAGCACTCAAGTACAATATCAAAGATAAATGATCAGCTAACTGGATACTGTGTGACAAATACAGTTTTAAAACCTTCATTATTTAATCATATACTGTCCCTACATGGTCTCTGGGTGTATATTGATGACACAATCTGCTAAAATAGCTCTAATGGGAGCTTGAGTTCAAGAAGGCCTGTGTTTAGCCCTACGAGGTCGAGTTCTCCACATTCAAAGCAGCTCAGAGTCACTTGATTTGTTGTTGAGAGCAGAATGTAATTAGTACAGAAAATCTTCATACAGAAAACCTTATTCACAGCGATGTAGACACCAGGACACATTGTAAAACTCTTCCTTTAAAACTCAGTCTCTTGCCTGCAAAACCTTTGACACACTTCAACGCTGAGGGACAGTTTCCTGATTGGTAGGACCTTGTCACAGTCTGTGGGTTTAGAAAAAAAATATTTTAAACTTGGTCTAACTGAACCACTTCCTGCATCTGGATGATCAAAATGAATCAATTCTCAAGTTTACACAAATGCCAGGCTGGGGAAACTTGTTCACTGTTCTCTGGATGATTTAATCTGATGCACTGGCTGGAGGAGAATCACACATGGAAGTGATTTTATGAAGGAAAGTGTTTTTTTTTAAATACTTTATATCCCTATACTGCATATACAATAGTATCATAGGTAGTGGGTGTAATGACAGTAAAGGTGAATCTATTTAATTTGGAGAACTAATTTGGAGGCTGGACAGGTCTGACGGTGTGATACCAAATTAATAATGGTAATATTAATAACGCACTGAAACGGCCTGACAGCTGATTTGGTTTCCCGCGTGCCACCCTGAGGTCTACAGGTGTCCATTTGACCCGTCGGGCGGCGTGCACGTGTCGCGAGCGCGCGTCACAAGTGGTCTCCCATAGAAACCATCGAGCCGGCCCACGCGCGCTTATCGGACCGTTTAACGGCCGTAAAGTTTTGGTGCGCGCGACGCTCCGCCGCGGATCGAAGTGAATTAAAATCGTCTCTCCGGCGGACGGAGCGTCTGTCCGGTGCGGCCGCCGGTTGTTGGGAAAAAATTGTTTGCCTTTTCGATGCTCAGGCTCGGCTTGTTTTATTTTTTTTGGCGTTCCGGGGCCTCGGTGGATCCGACTCCGGTTGGTTAACCGGCTCCAAAACCGGCCGCTGCTACACGAACCCGTTAGCCGACTAGCATGCGACGAATTAACGGTGACGGCTAATAATCTGATTACCGACGAGGTAATTAGCAGCAGCTGTGGCGCCGGGTTTAACGGTAGTTTGTCCTAAAACGACAATATGCGTCGCCTGCGAATTAAAGTGACGAATTTCATAAAAGTCAAATTAATTTTGGGGCGAAAATAAGTGTTTCAAGTGATATTAATTACTACATTTTGTGTATTTATTAACGAGGAGAGAAGCCGAGAAGGACCGTTTTAACAGGTAGGCCCCGGGCAGGTCAGGGGATGTGCTAAGCTAATTTGTTAGCATACATACACAAGTTAAATTTGTATAATTATTATTTTCTGCTTAAAACTGAAAATGTTTATGTTGTTTCGACTGAGCGCTTCTGTTTCTCCGTCTCCGCCTCAGCGGGCCCTCCCAGCTGGAGGCCCCGGCTTCCCCTTTCCCGGCAGGCCCGCTTGTAGCGGCCCGTGTCGGCCGCTTGGTGGCGGTGGTGGGCCGGACTGGAGGACAGCCGGAGCCGCTTAGTTGAATTTACTGTGGGCTATTTTACTTTACAACCTCTAACCGCAACAAGAATAAACAGCCTTTGTCGTTTTCGGCTTCATTAATGAAAGTTAAAGGCAGCAGTTAAACAACAAGTGAGCTACTAAAATGAACGGGGGGTACGTAGGGCGGTAGGCTCGCGCTCTTATGCTGGTCAGCAGGACTAATGGATAAGTAGGAAGTTGACTTTACAATAACAATTTAAGTGGCTTGTTAGTTCCGCCTCCATCCTTGCTCGATGTCCCTCATAATAGGCGACTTAATTTTCTTTATTTCTTTAAAAAAGAAACAAAAGAAGAAGAAGAAGCTCGTCGTTGTTGCTCATTCATAGTTTGTAAACTGAACATTTTTGAATCAATTTCTACAAGACTGTTTACAGCCCCATTTAAAACGTTTTTTTCTTGTTTTTCGTTTTTGCAATCGTCCCTTACCCTCATTCTTGATGTAGTTTTTGTTCTGCTTCGTTTTCACTATAAATACAAGGTTCACTTCCAGCTCAAACGCCGCACATTGAGTCATGTCATAACGCTTTTCTTTTTGTTTCTTCATTTCAGTGGGTCCTCGGAGCCCCCACCACCTCCCCCTCTGCCCCTCGTCTCTCCATTTTGTGAGCTCGCTGAAGGCAGCACTGGTCTCCTCCGCCACATGACGATACCGGACTATTATTTTAATCGAGCTCGTGGTCGGTGAGTCCGATTCACAAATGGTTAAACTACCCCCTCCCTTTTTTTTTTTTTTTTTAATTCGATCATCCAATCCTAACAGGCCGTAATGAAAACACGCTGCAGTTTGACTGCAGGATCCGGGCTGCACGACGGAATCCACATCTGCAATCAAGTGGATTCAAAACAAAACAGGGATTTTTTTTTTCCCGAGCAGGTTTCTTCTCGTGGAGCATTTAATACAATTTACCGAATCGAACCAATCGATTTTTTTTATTTCTGACTGGTTACCATTCACAGTTTATTAATCGGAAAAACGTCGGATTGCAGTGTATTTATTTGACATTAA